TCCTATGACCCCTGCCCGGGCACTTATCCTGTGCTTTACCCGTTCTAGATGAAGATGGAGACCTGATCGCTTTTTCCACTGATGAGGAGCTGGAGATGGCGATGCCTTACGTGCAGGATGGCATCTTCCGTGTTTACATCAAAGGTAATGCCACGCAGCTCCCGGGGTGGGAGCAGATCTCCGGCTTTGCGCTGTGCCAGGCTCAGGAAAGGGGCGAAGCCAGCCCTGGCCCTTCCCCTTGGCCTCAAGGGCCTGGGGTCCCCTGCAGCCTTGGGGGAGAAGGTTAAATAAAGGGCAGGCTGATGGGCCAGGATCTGGATCCTCCCTGCTGAGGTGGGATAAAGGGATCACAAGGTTCCTCCTCGCCCTGTCATCTCAGCTGGCCCAATGCAAGCCACTGTTGTCACGCTGGCTCCCTGGTAACGCTGGCCTGCCACTGGTACCTTTAATAGTCACAGCAGTGTGTTAGGAAGCCTTAATTCCAGCTTATTTAGCGCATTGTTGCTCCCTAGTCCCTTCTGTTCCCATAGATACCCGCAAAGCTTTATTTGCAGTCCGTCTTAATGAGTTACACAAGCCAGCGGCTGTTGTCCCCATTCTCATCTGTTAATGCCTCCTGGCATTTCTTCCCAACTCCCTCTCCAGAAACATTTTGTTCCTGCAGTGCTTAGGAAGGTAGGATGAGAAGCCAAATGGGGTAGTGCAGTACTAATCTAAAATAAACATGCCAAGAGACCATTAAGGGTAAGGTATGCTCAGTTTGAGGAGCAGGTATCTTTATGAACCCCTTTGCACTTGGTTTAAGTTCTCTTACATGCCCCCAGCTTGTGTTTGGCAGCCAGTATAAAAATAAACTGACCTAGTAAGTCAATACTGCTCTGACAAGGGCTGCTTGTGCTTCCTGCCCCTCTGCCCGATTTCCAGCCTTTAAATAGTAACCTCATTCTTGATGGAAAGTTTCCTTTCCTTAACAGAGAAAAAGGAGTGCAGGCGAGAACATCGCTCGCAGTGCAGCCAGGAGCCTCCCCGTGACATGGTGCACCCCAACGTGATCTGCGATGGCTGCGAAGGGCCAGTGGTGGGGGCCAGGTTCAAGTGCACCGTCTGTCCAGACTACGACCTGTGCAGCACCTGCGAGGGTAAAGGCATCCACAAGGAGCACAACATGGTGATGTTTCAAAGTCCACTGCTAAATCCATTTGAGGTGAGCAGAATCTATGGAGGGGAGCTAACAAATGGGATGTTCCTCAGATTTAAGTCTCAGAACCTGGCTGTGTGAACAGACTCATATGAACATTACCCTTTACAGTGGCTTCCCCGAGGACGCTGGCTCCGTAAAATGCGACATGGTGTTCCACCCTTCCCATGGATGCACTGCTGGGGATATCCTGGCCCTGCACCTCCATGCCAAAACTCTGAACAAGCCCAAGCCAGCGCTGCAGCCTCCAGCCCACCCGGTGCAGAAGGTAAGAGGAGATGCTCTGGTAGACAAGGTGGTGGTGGAGCCAGATGAGCTGAGGTTCTGCAGAACAGGGTGGAAGAATAGACATAGGAACTACTCTAAGAGGAGATGCTCTGGTAGACAAGGTGGTGGTGGAGCCAGATGAGCTGAGGTTCTGCAGAACAGGGTGGAATCTGGGTGGAAGAATAGACATAGGAGCTACTCTAATCCACTTGAAATTACTAGCACCTTTCAGTGCAGAGTGGGATCATTTTAAGGCACGCTTGGGCCCATGCAGTAGATGAGGATGCAGAGAGGATATCTGGAACCACAAAGCTGAGCTGTTAGGTCAAGCATGTCACTACTCCAGATCTGCCTTTCAGCATGGCTAATGAGCCTTAACAATGCTAATGCCACTGGTTTTCTGTTCCAGAGGTAGCTCAGAATTAGTTTTTGTCTCTATACTGCCTTTGCTGTGCAGTGGATGTGAGTGAAACGAGCACTGAGATCTCATGGGGAGACACTCTG